GATCATAGAAGTTAGACAAAACGACGTCAGGTTTATTTTTTGAATATTTACCTTCGACCAACGTCAGGACGCATGGTTTTAGTGCGGAAACGTCCACCGTATCCTTTAATCGCTGCCCTCTTACCTGCAATGAACGACAATGATATTATGGTCGTTTTATTTTATTTTATTTTATTTTATTTGGCCTTTTTGCAATAAATCATGGGTAATTATACATTCATCACCGCGAACGTGATTATGGTCTAACTTTTTCTGCTAGGCGTTCAGCCACATGCAATTGATTTTAGGGTTTCTTTTGATTTGGTTTTGTACTAAATGCCCTAATTTGTCAAAGGCAATGAAATGAAAAGTCTTCAACTACATGCCATTTTCTCCTCCAATCAGATGTTGTGAGAGCATCCACAATGGGCTCGCTAAACCACTTCCTTAGATAATTTTTAGGAAGAATTTGGAAAAATACAACTCCAATCGTGCTCCTTATCCACCTCCTAAAATAGGGAGACCTTTAGGAGCTCCTAAATCTGAGGAGAGAGAAAGGACTTCTAGTGGCTCCCTATAATTTAATGCTGCTTTATTTAATGAGTATTTCAAACCTTTAATTAATGTTAATTAATTTTTATATTATCTTTTAATAGAGATGGACCAATTAAAAAAGAGTTATAGCATTTATGACTCCCTAAATTAGAGAGCATGATTGGAGTTTAAATTTTATAGAGAGCTCCTAAAATAACTTTCATATTTTTTTAGCTAAAATTTAACTAAAAAATAGAGAGCATGATTATGAATGCTCTGAAATAAAATTAGCCATAAACAAGAATAAGACGATCACGACGAAGTATTGTGAGTAATGAAAATTACCTCATGGGTAAGCGAAAAATTTGTGATATTGCAAGTTTCTGTGTTCACTGATAATAGCTGGCGAACATCGATAATCCTATCCGTTGAAATTCCCTGCTGAAAATATCAATGTTAATTTTGCTACATACTCAATAATGCTAATACGATACATACGGACCTCACTTAGCATAAGTAATTCAACCTTCATATATACGATACATGTAGCATTAACTAAAAAACATAATGTACTTGTGTCCTTAAAGAATCGGAATATGACAGTGAATTGGCTCATTATAACTTGGTATGAACAATAACAATAAGGACAAGGACAAGAAAAAGCACATTACATTTTCTGTGCTTGCAAGAGAGGCTTCTAGCTACCTTCTATTATGGAAGTAGGTGGGTGATGCCTATAGTTTGGAGACTATAGCACATATTCGAAACCGGCCAATGAACCAACTTTGACACTATACAAATGCTTGTGCTTAAAATATTGCAAACACTATATAAAATAATTATTTTAAATTTAAGAAAAAAGTGCCCATGTGAACTGGAAGCAACAGAAACAACACGTTCCTGTCTTACAAGAGAGTACAAGTCACAGAGGCAGAGAGACTTAGTTAGCCAAGGTTGACAAAGCTAATAGCAGAACTTGTTATAAATTAATTGCAGCCACAAGAGCCATGAGCTGAATTTAGAAACCATCCAAACCTTTAAAACAACACTGCTTTCATCAGGAAGGTTCACAGTGATGTCCATGACAACAGGAAGAACTGCAGAGACAGAAAGAAAAAAACGGCACAAAGATTAATTAATCCGGGTGCTTAACTAATGATTTGTTTGACTAAACTAAGCAATTTGAAGACAAATTAATGACTGATTACCCTTCTCTTCTTTCTTCTTCTTCTCTCCTTTGCCCTTTCCACGACTGTTTCTGGGTGCCATTTTCAGCTTTTCTTGAATGAATGAGCTTAAACTCGAATATCCTTAATTACCCACCTAAGTAGATATCTGAACAAGTTTAATTAATGAAATCAGTGTTAGTAAGATGCAAGATACTCCATGGCTAAATTCAGATAAGGTTTAGAGCACAAGCCAATAATATCTCAAAGTGTTTCTTTCTATTCTGAGAAACACTTCAGAAACAGAAACACTTTTAAAAAAACAGCTGAGCTGAAGATTAAATGAAAACACAAAAAGAAAAAACCAATAAAAAAAAAAGATTACCAAGTATGTGGAATTAAGCTTTTCCGAAGTGTGGAGGAATGGAGAAACAGAGCAAATGGTGTTTTTTTTAATGCAGAAGGAAGCAGAAATGAATAGCAGATAATTAAACTGAGCTGCACCAATTAACCATGCAAGTAGAAAACCATAACTAAGCTAATAATTATGAAGAAGATAAGAAGAGTAAAAGCTCTCTCTCTCTCTGTGAGTGGTGAGGTTCAGAGTTTGGATAATGAGGAGAGCAGAAACAATGAAAGAGGTTTGTATGGAGATGAAGAGGAAGAAGAAAAAAGGTGGAGATGAAAAAATAGGAGAGGGAAAGAGATATAGAGAGATGGGTGTGATAAGGAAGGAAGGGCGGAGATTTAACAGTCAGAAGAAGCAAAATTTGGCTTTTTATGGCAGTTTCTTTCTGGATTATGCAAGAGTAATTATCATTTTTGTGGGATGTATTTTATTTTTCTAATTTAATTTATTAATTTTAATGAATTTTGAAATTCTTATTAAATATATATATCTAATGGGAAAGGGCTGGCAACTGTCTCTGGAGGTTTCTGCTGCACTTTGTATTGTAGGAGGAATTTGGGGCCCACTTCCTTGTTGGGTCCACTGAGACTTGGATTCCATGTAAAAGTAATCAGAAAATCCCAGCCGTTGAATTTTTTGTTAACGGTTTGTAGAATCTCTTCTTGCTTCCCTTCCCTTTGGATTGGGATGGGATTGGTATTTTTCTGGGACCCACCCAGTGATAGGAATAGTTACGTACCTTAAAATGTCCCTTCATGGGCTTAAAGAAATTACATTACCTTTTTTTTAAACTGCAGATTGATAGAATTGTAATTATATGATCCTAATTCAATTCAATCAAACTTCACATACGGGGAAGTAGATGACAATTTGATCCGCACCCTCTTGAAAATGTTTACAATTTAATGCTTTCACATTTAAGTCACTATATGAAGTTTTGTCTTACATCGGAAAATACTCTCAATTGCCAATCGATTTTGAGTTGGAACATCATCTTCTTTATGGTATTAAAGCGGGATTTCTGCGTGTGAATCCCAACTACCACGCGTGTTACTCATTACCCAATATGCATTGTTCACATGTTATGCTTGAAATTTTGTCACATGTATGGGAGTGTGTGATGATATGAAGTGAATTGCTGTCTCATATCAAAAAATTTAGAGAGTTTGACTACTCGCTCATTGCTAATTAATTTTATTTGTTCAGTATTTCATATATGAAATCTTTCTTTTTAAAATTATAATAAAGAATCTCATGCCCACGTTTGTTTTGTTGGTGATAGGCCAAAATCAAATAAATTTATATATAGTTGGTACACATTTCAGGGCAATAAATTCCTGCATGAACAAATAGTAACTTGGAATGCATCATTTCATTACTACTAATGTAAACTTGTCAAGTCCATAGTTATACTTCTTCAATAATTATTGGAGATCAAATCAGGGTTTCCATAAGTCATATAAAAACAAGCAAATATAGGACTATAATGCATATATGTGGATGGAGAAACCACCACTCCACCAGCATGTATAGTCACTGAGACTGATGTTTTGTTTGGTAACTTTGACACAGACCTATGAATTTTTTGGCTCCTTTTAATTTAATTCCTTTGTTTTGAATATTACCTCTTTTGTTCTTTCCCAACAAACTAGATTGTTAATTAATCTGGTAATATTGTTTAAAGCATCTAATATCTGTACAGACAAAGATACTTTCACTGCATTATTAATACAGTTATTTTATTTTATTTTGTTAAGAAAAAATTATTATAATTAATAGTTTTTTTTTTTTGGCAGATGAAGCAAACAAAGTTTGGTGGTGCTCCACGGATGGAAAAAAGGATTGAATTGCTGTTGCTTGTTTGTTGCTTTGCTTGACACGTTTCCCTTTCTTTTTGTCTTGAGCAAATTTTCTTCATTGTTTGCACGGTTCTTAATTTTCCACCAATTATATGTTGTTAAGATAAGATTGGACATCTTTTTTTTCTAACAAATTTTAGGAAATATTTGCATTTTTCTTTGTGAGCTAATTGTTTATCTATATATATGTGGGGTAATTATTCACTTAAAATAATTTAATGGTTAGTGGTATAATTATTGTAGCTTAGTTGACATAAGCCGAAAGATTATATTATTTTCTAAGATATCTTAGGTTTTAGTTGCTTTTTTTTTTCTCCCACGACATTGATTCCCTCCATTGCCTTACACATGCATATGATAATATGTTACACATATAAGTATATATAAATAATTTTGGAATTTATTTACTTCTATGTTTTCTTTCATTTTGACATCGAGTCCATGGACATTGCTTCCCTCATTCCCTCAAAAGAGGTATTCCTACTTCTTACAAATCACAGTACGATACATATACAAAAATAATTCAAAAAATACATAAAACGATAAATCTCTACACACACGTCAAATTGTGATTAACAAGAGAATAGGGAGTTCCCAATTTCAGGAAAAGAGACAAGTATTTTCCTTTTTGTATTATTGCAAAGCCCAGTGGAAATGATGATGCACTTGCATATAGCTGCAAGTCGTTACTAAATGTGGGCAATAGAACCCACTCGAAGTAGACCAATTTTAACGTTAGGACAACTAGTGGCCACTATTCAATTTGCCACTTGAACAAATTGAGTGGGGCGGTAATCAGACTGTGTGTGCACTTTTTTGAAAAAAGAATACACCTTTTGGATTAAATTATAAGTTATTTTTTAAGGGATTTGACAACCAATTTTAAATAGCTCGGTGTTTTTCCCAATTATGCACCAACAGAAGCAATATCATTGGTGCAAACTGTATCTGAAATTTATGACAATGCAAATAGGAGATTGGTCAAAACAAGCCAAACATATTTTTTGTTGGGAAACCAATAAGTGACCAAGCACAGTCCCATTCTTTAGTGAGCTTTGTGCGAGTGTCTGTCTAGGTCTGCTCAGCATCACTTTCCCAGTTGGAAGTCCCATCAAAATTCAACCCTAGTTTTGGTCTAGAAATCAACCTCTTGATAAAATAAGAAAAAGACATAAACCCTCAAATCCCCTCTCCATACTGAGCGGTCAATACTCTATTTGAGCTAGAGATCATCCTCTCTCACAATACTCCCAGACAACAATCACCTGAAAAAAGTTCAGGCAACTTTTTTCTTTCAAAACCCACCACTCATGGCTCACAGAAACTTAATCTTTAAATTCCTAATCCTCTCAAGAATACTCTGGCACCTATTCTGAAGCTTATTCCCCATCCAGCAATCCCGTCACAACCTCATTTTGATCTATCCCTTCTCTGGCCATCAAATCCAGGTTTCTCTAGAATACACCAGTCCACAATTTCATTGCTCCACTTTTCCACAGAGAGGGAGAGAGAGGGAGAGAGAGGAAGGATAATAATAATAATTGAATACATTGCCTTTTTTTTTAGTAATGCATTGTCATTATCTTTTACATTTTCAGTAAACAATACAATCTTTCCCTTTTTTCCTATAATAAGTAAAGCAATACAACATATCACTCTAGGCGCATTGCTAATACGAACTTCTACCAGCAGCCAGATAAAGTGACATTCTTTTCTATTTACACAATTAAGAGCAAGTCAATACTCATAATTGTGTAACATGGCGAGAGGTATGGTCAGATGAACAAGTAATCAACCATTATAACATGGCGAGAGGGCCCTATTGCTTGTTGAATCAAACCACGATGCTTATATCTAGCCATGCTTGTGTACAATTGATACAGAAATCAAATAAGAATGCAGAAAATGAATTCAAGGGTGGGAAAGTGGGGATTAACTGTGCAGGAGGGGGCAAATAGAATCTTGCTAGCACTAAAAACAGACAAACAAGCAGACATTCTCTTCAAACTAAAAGGGGAAATTAACTTTGCACGGGAACTTTTGGGACTTGCACAGAATCTTCCAACCAAAAGAGAACACACGCACAAACACATATGAATAAGAGATTAACTAAACACATCAACAAAATAGACGCACAACATAACCAAGAACAGAACAAGTTAACAATCAACTCAAGCCAAAAATGAAGGCCAAAATCTGTTACAAAAATGAAATGCTGGCATCCATGAACATTATATTTAGAACACTAGTAACATGAAAAGCCACTAACAAGCAACCAAAACCGCAAATCCTTAGCAGCCCATTACACGACACCCATCCAGCATTCATTTTCACAAAACATATACACAAATTTTGTTACACAATATGGACCAGGGGAAACATAATAGTTACCAACAATCAAAAGACAACCTAATATACATGGGTTTCAACCCATAAGAAATAACTAGGAAAAAAATTAAAAGAAAAATGTGAGCTATAAAGTGTCACAATCGAAAGCTAATACACATAAGAAGAAGGGCAATCATATCATGGGGATGGATCAGCAGAAAGATTTTTTATCAATGCTGGAAATTGTGATAGCAGCTATGTCACTGGTGCAATAGCAACCATTATGTTGGGAGCAGTCTAGGCTGGCATTCAATATTAGAATGTAACCCACGCCTTTTCTTACGACCCATCACTGAGGCTTATAGATCAAACCCCAGTGCTGTTTGATTTAGAAGAGGTTGCGAAAGTCGCAATGCAAAAGCTTTAACAAGGACTAGGGCCCTCTTCGGTTTTTTCACTGCCATCACAAAATTCCAGCTCAAACCTTTTACTATTTCACCATCATATCCATCTCATTTTCATGACAAGTTGATTTTTGCATTTTCTTCTGTGATTTTCTAGGCATCCAAACAGATAATTTAGAGAGGGAAAACTGAATATACCTGAATGAGGCCGTAGAGCTTAAGCTGGTAACTCCTCAGAGTGAGAGGGAGGCAGAGATTCGCGAAGAGTTTGGGGCAATGATATTGGTGGTGTTATTAGGGCGTCCTCCTCGTCCGCTAGACGATGTCGTTTTGTTTATCTTCACCTAGGTCGGTCAATGAAGCCCAGCCCAAAATTACAAAAGAAATAAGGCCCAATCTTCGGCTAATAAATTATAGCAAAGCTTGGTCCTCAAACGTCCAGGCCCAAGATTCAGCCCATCTTCACCCAAGTTTCTTTTTTTTTTATTATAATTTTTATAAAACCTAATTTTCAATTGAGCGAGGGTATTTTTGTCACTCTATTTATGTACATGTTGTTCGACGTCCTTTGTAAATCTTTGAATATAAATTAGTTTTTGTCCATCCTTCCTTCCTTTAGACCGCATAGAATAATTTCAATATTGCGCCCTGTTTTGTTCACATAAAAGATTATATCAAATGTGACTTATGTATAACTCATATCTCATGTCTTAAACGCTAGATTATAAGGGGATTGTACCTGAGATGTCAAGAGTGGTTTCCCCTTCGTTTACAGTAGGAAGCTTAATTTTGGAACTGTGGGAATAATTTATGGGTTGATAATTTTGGATCATCACATATAAGAAATTTTGTTTTTTTTGGGTCTGAACCACGAGGTGGTTCTAGATGGGCCCCAACTATGGGTGGCACCTTTAAGCCTTAACCACAACTCAGACTAATCCCCGCTCACACCAGGTCGCCCCATAAGGGGTAAAGTGTTGGCCAAAGTGGTGACTCTATACGAGAGTGGGGATCGAACCCCTGACCTCTCTTAAGGAATGAGAGTGCCGAACCACTCACATCAACCACCTTGGTTGTTATTTTAAATTTTCGGACGCGACATTTGAAATTGATATCACTTTTTTTTTTGTTACAATAAATGGGATTTTGATTTTTAATTTGGATAAACTGTATATGACTTGATTATTTTTCTTCATTTCTTTTTATCATTTTAGATGAGTATTAACACTAGTAACTTGGAATCTTTGTTGTTTTTTATGTTGTGAAACCATGGGTTGTCCAAGTTCAGATTATTTTGAACTATTTTCTTCTAATATTAAGACGGATCGAGTTGATACAAAAGTTTCCTTGTCTGGGACAGTGATGCTTCCTTATACTCATTTGATTGTCCAAATTAATCGTAATTTCCTAAAGGCACAGACAAAGTCGGCTAACTAGTGCCCACTTCAATAAACAACTCACATAGAACGAGCTATAAAAAGAAACCAAACATAGAAATTAGGGTACTAAATTTTAGATTTCAGAAATTCCAATCATGTTTGCTTAGTCTTCTTCAATCCCCTAATAATTTCTTGAATGAAGTTCATACGCAAACGTACTCTTCTTCAATCCTCAAATGATCCATCAACACTTCTAAAGTCAAAGGCTCATTAATATTGTACTTCGACTTGATGCTCACATGCTTCCAAGAGTCAGGGAGCTTGGATAAGATGGCAGATACATGAAATGTCTCACTCAACGTCATTCCAGAAGCCACAACTTCATCGAAAATGCGATTGAATTCTTGAATTTGCTCCACAAGTGGCTTTTCATCGACCATCTGAAAATCCATGTACTTTCTAACCAGATATTTTTTTGTTCCAAACATTAATTTTAGATCGTCCCACAGTTGTTTAGCAGTTGTAGTTTTCTTTCTCTTTCTGTAACGATGGAGGAGATCATCAGATAGATAGTTCAAGATCGTGCGAAGACCTAGAAAGTCATCCTTGATCCATTTCTCTTCAGCAGCCTTCAATTCAGTAATTCCTTCACTAGTTGCTACAGATCCTACAATAATGCTAGGGCATGGCTTATAGAGTACATATTCAACTTTTAATTCCTTGAGGAAAAACTCCATTCGCCGCGCCCAGATTGGGTAGTTCTTCCCATCAAGACGAACAGGGTCAACGGGAACAAGTTCTGGACGAGCAAGACCAGACATACCACATTCCCTTTGCTCATTATCACGTTCAGATCTCAACTTTGACTCAATCTTGGCGACCTCATGCATGTCTCGGGTCCTCTTATTAAAGTCTTTCCAGATGACTGAAAACATATAGCATCAATACAAATCACTTGAAATTAATCCAACCAAATGGGAAATGCATATATCAACATGAGTTTTAGGTTAGGAATATAATTTAAACAGTAACTTAATGAAAGTATATACACATTTCTAACACAAACCAGGACCAGGAGTCAGTAATTGCTATGAGAAAATAAGATATACTAGTGTATGGTACCATAGGCAGAAACCGGCCTTCCATCTCTTCCTTCAAAAACTCCCAAGAATCCCCCACTCTTCCTTGGCGTTGGTATTGGTAGCTAATAAAACAAGAGAATTAATTTAGATCACACACCCACAAATTAATTTACACCAAAAAATTCCGAAATTCGTACATAATTTCTTTTCTTTTTTTTGCTTAAAAAAGAAGAAGAAAACCTTTCATCAAAAACAAGAAAAAAGAAGAAGAAGAAGAAAACCTAATAGTGCAACCCACTAAACACTCATATAGAATAGAACCAAAGAAACCTATTATTGAAGAATTCAATTTTCCTTCCTTTCCAAGTAGCCAGACGTAGAAATTAGGGTTTCACCTTCGTGTCCTTGAGCTCTTCTCCACCGTTCCGGCCCTTACCTGACGGATCGATTCCAAGTCGCTCTGTGTCCATATCTCCAAGTGTTTTTAAGCTTTGAAAGTTTGATTTGAAGCCCTTATTATAATTTGTCAGGTAAAAAAATGGTTGGTGGCATGATCCCAACCCTAATTTAAATTCTAGTAATTCCGAACATGTTGTTTGTTAATCCAAATCACGAAAAACCTGGTCAATTGGCAACACGTATCCTATTCTTGTTGGCCACGTCAAAGTTAAGTCTCACAAATGAATGAAAATAGTGATTTAAATTAAGATTAAAAAAAAGTTGGCAAACAGTGAGTGAAAGAATGACGGAAACATTATCTATATATATAAAGGAAAAGGCTGAGAATGGTGAAATATTCAAAATACCAGAAAATGCCCTTGGTTAATTCAAACATTAAGAATTGAAATTATTAATTAAATGAGGATAATATGGTAAATTCACACTTTTTCATATTTAAAAAAATTAAAATTAAAAGAAAATTCGGATAATGGATCCTATTTTTATGGAAAACAACTACCCATTATCTTTTTTAAATTTAAAAATAAAAGCCTCTCGCAGGTGCGGAAGCACGTGCGGAGAGGCTAGTATATATATATATATATATACTAGCCTCTCCGCACGTGCTTCCGCACCTGCGAGAGGCTTTTATTTTTAAATTTAAAAAAGATAATGGGTAGTTGTTTTCCATAAAAATAGGATCCATTATCCGAATTTTCTTTTAATTTTAATTTTTTTAAATATGAAAAAGTGTGAATTTACCATATTATCCTCATTTAATTAATAATTTCAATTCTTAATGTTTGAATTAACCAAGGGCATTTTCTGGTATTTTGAATATTTCACCATTCTCAGCCTTTTCCTTTATATATATAGATAATGCCATGTGACGTGTTTAAGAATAAATCAACTTATTTACAATAAGATTTGTTGACGCCAAAAAGTGGTTCAGGACTTTTAAGGGTCAACTTAGTAATTTTACGCCTTCGGTATCCTAGATGCCTCGGTAGGGAGAGCGATCTGCAATATAAGAAAACGCTCGGTAAGACCTAGGGCACCGGTGTGGTACCGGCCGAAGACATGCTTAAGTAAGTTCGGGATTAGAAAGTTCAACTGACAGATCAATAGGCTTGTATGCCGTAAGTTATGATTACCTCTATTTTGGGGTAGTTGGCCTCCTTCATAGGCCTTGGGAGGTGTGCACTTTGTTGATAATTTCGATGTGGGACTGTGGATGTCGCTTGGGAGCATGCCACGTGTCCCAGGAGAGGGTGTTGCCCTAATGGATCGATTGGTAGGTGCCGAGGGCTTCCCTGACCAGGCTCGATTTCTTCCACGTGTCTTGTTCTCATTGGCTGTTCATTTTGGGTATAAACAAGCTTATCTGCAAATTATTCAAAACATCTCGACCTACAATACCTTGTGTCACAATAAATATTTATAGGGGAATTTTTGTTGATCTCTTTCAAATGTGCAGTCTTTGATCCAAAAGATAGTTTACAACAGAGGACGATAGGGGAAAAAGGGAGGGCTTTTGGGATCAACACTTTGCGAGTTACTTAAGGATTGGCTACTGGTGATCACACTACTACAAAAAGATCACACTAGCTATTGATGTTCATTTGATCATTTCTTATTGTCACACACGGTTTGGATTACTATAGGAATGGAATTGCTTATATTAAAGCTACATGAACCAAAGTGAAGAATGGCTGAATTTACATATGCAAAAATAAAGGGGATTACTTGCCAAAATAATATTACGAGAGACATTGTACAAAATTATGAATGACCATCTTACAAAAGCTTTAACTATTGATACGTATTTTGAAACTGAGTTTTGAATCTTACTTAATCCTTAACTTCAATTGTTCCAGCTAACTCCCCACATAAAAATTACGTGACTCATAATGCCTCATTTCCATCTACTCGTACAATAATCATCAATTGGGTAACATGGCACATAAATGAATCCCTTGTTTTACTAAAATGTATGCAACATGTGCAAAGAATAATTCCACTATGTTAGGCATCTAATTATAAGCGCATCTGCAGACATAGGCTTAGTCAGGTTGGGTAGAACGGATGTGCTCCCCACTTTGCATCCAAGTTCGAATTTTCATCCACGAAGTTTAGATTAATTTAAAGTAGAATATTGCTTCTGTCCAAAAAATTTATAAAAAAAATTATAAGCTCATCCACTAGCTATGATAATTAATTCCCTTGTTTCTCATGTTCATTACTTATTATATATTTTATTATATTTTATAGATTGTAATAATAATATTTTTGTTGGGAATTGGATGGGTAGGGATGGCAGAAATCCCATCAGGTCGGATTGGGTCGGGTCCCAGATGTGGCATCCCAACCAAATTTAATCATTTTATTCAATTTAATTCGATTTACTGAAATTGTGAAATTACATTTTTGCCCTAAGAGTAAGGTCGCGATAGTCACTTTTCGATCCGTAAGGATTTTAAGGATTTGAGGCACCGTTGAGTAGAGCTCGTCTATCCGAGTTCGAAGACACGTTATGGGCCCAAATCGGAGTTTTAACGAAGAAGTTACAGTCAACAGAAGTGTAGTGGCACAACCGTAAATATTTCAAAATCGAATTTTTAAAAAACCAGTTAGCCCTTCTCTCTCTCTCTCTCTCTCTCTCCTTCCTCCGTACGCGCGCGACAGCCAGATCTTTGACCGGCGATATCTCCGCCGTCCGACAGCTGTTGGCCATGAAACCACCATTTTTGTCAATCCAGGTATGCTTTCTCATCCTCTCAATGTGATCTAGCTGATAGTTAGGTTGGTTAGGATCATTTTGAAGTTTTGAAGCTCAATTTAGGATTTAAGTTTTGACCCCTTTTTGGCTTGATTTTCCGGCAAGCTTCGGTCACTTTTTGGTCGTGGCCTAAGAACAAAAGTTGTTCCCCTAGTTGTCCTGGTCACGTAGGTATAGGTATTGTCGGGTGTTTCGAGAATTTTTCGGTCGTCGGAATTTTCTCAAGACACCTACGTGTTTCCAGCGCGTGGGCCATGGTGTGGTGGCCCATCTTGTCCTAAAATGTTCCCCATGTTGACCCGAGCATGACGGTATGCTCGAATTCGAATTTGGTTATCATCTGACGATCGAATAGATTTATGCATATTAGGCGATATTCAAGTTCGATATGTTTGGATAGTTGGATCGGCTCCATTTCCAAGTATGTTGATCTAGGTACCTCTAGGATCATGTAAGAACTTCCGGATACTCCGAATCAATGATTCAAAGATTACGTAAACCGGTGACCGTCCGATTGTGCAATCGAGAGCGATCCGATCGCTCGATCTGGACTAAACTTGCAGGACGTGTTTAGTAAACTTTGTTGAACCTATAGGAATGTTCGGATCGGAAATATGAGGTCGTGGACCTCGTGGGCCCACTTGACCAAAAACGAGAAGTTTGACCAACTGTTGGACTAGGGCAAGAAAAGGTATTTTGGACATTTGTACCCGATACCTACTAGGTGTTGGACACGCACAGGGTTTGACACGGATTCCAAAGTAAAATTTGGGTCAAGTCATGTTACCTGACCTTAACGGGGGAAAATGAGGCGGGTACGGGGATCCCCAATTTTTAACAATACCACACCGGTGACGGGCTAAGGATGGTATCCCTATCCCAAACTCGGCATGATAAGTGATGTATTTATTTTTAATTGATAAATTTATAATGTGATATAATATAAAAAATAAAAAGTTATCCTAAACTTTGTAAGATGTTGAAGCTTTGGATATTTTATTATTATATGATTTTATTAGATTTTTCAAATTAAATTGAGATGATTTTGAATGGTTGAGTGAAATTTAAGTGTTATATGGATTTTACCCGAACGGAGACAAGGACGAGAATTTCCCGAAATTTCATACACGGGATGGGGAGCGGGGACATGGATAATATTGTCATATCCAATCCCTAATCGAACCACCTGTTGATGGATGTGAACACTAGTATTACTACGTACTCAGTTTAATTAATAAAATAAAATATATTTTTACTAAACTCTACACCTGAAAAGGTAACCTCAGTAGTACTGAGGTCGAATTTTCTCCAATAGGTGATTAGAAACATGTGTTACTGATTAAACATATAGTCAGAGCAATTGAATAAAAAAAAATTTATCAATTTAAAAAGAAAAACAAAGCATGGAAGGTCCCATTAAAACTCAAAACATGTAATAAAAAACCAAGCTTACTACTAGTAGTTTCCTTTTCTTGTGATTAACTAATTGATGCGTGATTGTTGTTCAACCTTCAAGCGATGAATCAGCTTTGTAAGAGGTAGATGCTCCTCGCGCATCAACTCAATGCACACATCCTCCCAAGATGGGGGGAGCTTGGAGATGATTGCATTCACATGGAATTCCTCATCTATCGCTATTCTGTCACACTCAACCAGATCTCCGAACATAAAATCTATTTCTTCAACTTGCTCCACCATTGGTTCCTCCTCCTCGAGCAAATGAAATTCCAGGTACTTTTGAACCCGAGATTCGTGTCCTCCAAACCTCAATTCCAGCTCATGCCACAGTTGCTTGGCACTTGTTTTCTTCCTCCTCTTTGAGTAATGAAGAAAGAGATCATCAGATAGATGGTTCAAGATTGTATGAAAACACAGGGCGTCATACTCGTTCCATTTCTCTTCGGCAGCCATTGATCGAGCAATTTCTTCAACACTTGCTTCTGTTTCTACCACAAAACTTTGGCGTGGCCCATAGAGCACACCTCTAAGATTATCTAGGACATGTTCATTCATATTACAACGCCAAATACCGTAGTTCTTCCCATCCAAACGAAGATTGTCAACGTCAACAAGTACTTCATATGAGCACGACATGAACATGCCAACACAACACAGCAGCAACAGGGTAAGAAGGAAGTTATAATTATGCAATGCAAGTTAAATACAATCATAACATGAAGCTAATGTATATATATTTGGTTTCGTTGTATGCATTCATTTACCTTTGGGAGTAACAACTTGATATCCATCCCCCAGCTGTACAAACAAAATAATTTAGATCAGAAACCCACAAATTAAGACACCATAAAATTCTCAAACTCTTAATTCTTTCTACCAATAAAATATTTCCTATCGAAATATCATCAATTTCTCATTGTCAGACGCACAACCCAACTTCATTAACAACTCACATAGAACTAAAGTCCTTCCAGTTCCTACACTTTCCAAGTAAACAAACCTAAAAATTAGGGTTTTACCTTTACTTCCTTCTTTAAGCGTTCCATGTAGTGTAGAATCGGGTCCTGATTGGGTGGGTGTTGCGCCTGATAGATTGCGCTTCGCTCTGTGTACCCATGGACTGCACATTGACACGACATTCCAAACCAGAATCATGAGTCAGTAAATGCCATGAGAAAATAAGATTAAACCCAATAATCTAAGGAGTTGGGCTACTCTCTTCATTGCCAATTGATTTTGAGCACATGTTGGACTCAATGTCAATATTGTGCCTAATGACCGCCCGTGCTCCCACATAACCTAATCTGTGTTGTCCAGAGGCAGGAGCTAAATTTGGAGATATATTGGTTGTATGGTACCTAATAATCCCCCCAACAGTTCGTTTTTCCCCTTCGGTATTGGTACCTAATAAAACAAAAGAGTTAATTAATTAAGATCACAAACAAAACCACAAATTAATACACCAAAAAGTTCTGAAATTCGTATAAATTTCTAATAAATTGTCTTCTTTTGGCTATTGCTCATCCACCAAACAGAACACTCAACACTCACACAGAGAACCAAAGAAACCTATTATTGAACAAGTCAATTTTTCTTCGGTTTCATACACTTTCCAAATAAACAAACGAGGAAATTAGGGTTTCACCTTCATTTTCTTCCGCTCTTCTCCACCTTTTCGGCCCATACCAGACGGATCGATTCTGAGTCGCTCCGTGTCCATTTCTCCGAGTGTTTTTATGCTTTGAAAGTTTGAAGCCCTTATTATACCTTTATCAGGTAAAAAAACGTTGGTGGCATTTGTGGTAAATGCAATTTTAGTCAAACTTTTTAAATCCAAATTCTAGAAATGTGATCTGATCCTATTTTTGCGGACAACGTTAAATTTTTGTCTCACAAATTAACAAAATATTATAAAACTAGGGGGAATTGTAGAGAGCAATAAGAGAAAGAGAAAGACAGAGAATTTATTCTATGAACTTGTATCAACTTATCTTATTCATCTTTGATAAGCGCCTAATTATATGCTTACAATAGAGGTATTTAACCCACAATTTATAGCTACTAATTATAATAATAAGGGCATAGGTTACAAAACAATAAGGGGTGTCCTATTTTCCAACCCACCTTATCTTCAAAAATTTAAAGATAAATTTACCCTTTTGCGAAATGACTTCTAAGGACAAATTTACAATCTCTTCTCTCTCAGGCACGCACCTCTTTGGGTTTGAAACCCATACCCATCTTCATACCCAACTAGGGATGGCAGAAATCCCCGTCGGGTTGGGTCTCTGTCGGCTCCCAGCCCTAGCAGGGGGTGATTTCGGAGCAAAACGGAGATCAGGTACGGATTGACTACTTGTGATCACACTACTACAAACAAATCACACTAGCTATTGATTTTTAAGATAATAAATTGACAAGCCATGTTCAATTGATCATTTCTTGTCACACACGGTTTGGATTAAGATTGTAAAAGCTGGCAAACTATAAGAGTGTAATTGTTTATATTAAAGCTACATGAACCAAAGTGAAGAATGGCTGAATTTACATATGCACAAAATAAAGGGATTACTTGCCAAAATAATATTACGAGAGACATTGTACAAAATTATGAATGACCATCTTGCAAAAGCTTTAACTATTGATACGTATTTTGAAACTGAATTCTAAATCTCACTTAATCCTGAACTTCAATTATTCCATCTAACTCCCCACATACAAATTACGTGACTCATAATGCCTCGTATTCGTCTACTCGTACAATAATCGTCAATTGGGTAACGTGGCACGTAAATGAATCCATTGTTTTACTAAAATGTATGCAACATTGTGTAAAGAATAATTCCACTATGTTAGGCATCTAATTATAAGCTCATCCATAGACATGGGCTTAATCAAGTTGGGTAGAGCGGATGTGCTCCCCACTCTGCATCCGAGTTCGAATCTCCATCCACGAAGTCTAAATTAGGTTAAAGTAAAATATCGCTTGTATCCAAAAATTTAAATAATAAAAAATATAAGCTCATCCACTATGATAATTAATTTCCTTGTTTCTCATATTCATTCCTTATTATATATTTTATTATATATTATATATTGTAATAATAATATTTTTTTTGGGAATTGGATGGGTAGGGATGGAAGAAATCTCATCAGATCGGATTGAGGATGGAATCCGAATTGATAAGTGATGTATTTGTTTTTAATTGATAAATTTATAATGTGATATAATATAAAAATTAAAAAGTTACCCTCAACTTTGTAAGATGTTGAAGCTTTGGACATTTTATTACTATATGTTGAAGCTTTGAATGGTCGAGGGAAATTTAAGGGGTCGTTTGGTACGGCGGACTGTCATGGACTGGACTAAATGCTAGTATTGTCTTAGATTGGCTTAGCTTGGCATAATATTAGTATAACGTTTGGTGTATGTTTGATTGGACTAGGACTATTTTTTTTATTATATATATTTTTGACTTTTCTTCTCTCACCATCTCTTTCCTCGTTTTCCTCTCTACTTCACTTTCTTCTTCTTCCCATCTACATCTCTTTAATCATCTTCTTCTCCATTTTCTCTCCTCTTCTTCTGTCTCTTTTCTTTTTTCTTTTTCTTTTTCGAAAAATTTATCTCCTCTTCTCAGTTTTTAAAAAAAAATTTATCTCCTCTTCTTCTCCATTTTCTCTCCACCCATCCTTTTATGCCCTAAAATTCATCACATCTCAACATACCCATTGATGTTGTTGGGGTGGTGAGAAGATTGGGACGATGATACGGTGACTTTGTTGTGGTGTTTGTTTTTTTGAATTTCGAACGGGCTATGGTTGTTTGGGATGAAGATCCAGTGGCCATGGTGGATCTGTGAATCTGGGTTGTGTAGTGGTGTGAGTGTGGGAGTAGAGAAGGGAGCAAAAGAGAGATAGAGAGGTTGGGCACTGGGCAGTGGCGTGGGGGTTGGGCTGGGCAATGTCTTCGAGTTGCAGACGCTAGCGAGAGCACGGGACAATTTACTCCCTCCATCCCAAGCGGGTTTCAATAAGAACACCTAAGGAGGTGTTTTTGGTGGACCCGGGATCACCAATCCCACTTGAGCTTAGAACCGCATGACAACAAACATGGGATAAATTATTATCCAAGCTAGTCCAAGTCAAGGAGGTGTACCAAACGAGCCCTAAGTATTATAATATGGATTTTACCTGAATGGAGACAAGGACGAAGATTTCCCAAAATTTCAGACAGGGGATGGGGAGTAGGAACATAGATATAGTTTTGCCATACCTAGTCCCTAATAGGCCCACCCGTTGCCATCCCTATCTATGGACGAGAACACTAGTATATTACTGCTCAGTTTAATTAATAATAAAAAATATTTTTGTACTAAACCCTACACCTGAAAAGGTAGCCTCAGTAGTATTGAGGTTGCATTTTCTCCAATTGGCGATTACAAATATATTACTGATTAAACAAATAGTCAGAGCAATTGAATATAAAAAAATGCTATCAATTTAAAAAGAAAAACAAAGCATGGAAGGTCCATTAAAACTCAACACATGTATCAAAAACCAAGCTTACTATTACTTTCCTTTTTTCTTGTAATTAACTAATTGATGTGTGATTGTTGTTCAACGTTCAAGCGATGAATCAGCTTTGTAACAGGCAGATGATCCTCGCGCATCAACTCGATGCGCACATCCTCCCAAGATGGGGGGAGCTTGGAGATGATTGCATTCACATGAAATTCCTCATCTATCGCCATTTCGTCACACTCAACCAGACCTAAGAACATTGAATCCATGTCTTCAACTTGCTCCCCCATTGGTTCCTCCTTCTCGAGCAACTGAAATTCCATGTACTTTTGAACATGAGATTTGGGTCCTCCTCCAAACCTCAATTTCAGCTCATGCCACAGTTTCTTGGCACTTGTTTCCTTCCTCCTCTTTGAGTAATGAAGAAAAAGATCATCAGATAGATGGTTCAAGATTGTATGAAAACACAGGGCGTCATCCTCATTCCATATCTGTTCGGCAGCCATTGATCGAGCAATTTCTTCAACACTTGCTTCTGTTTCTACCACAAAACTTGGGCGTGGCCCATAGAGCATACCTCTAAGATTATCTAGGACATGTTCATTCATATTACAACTCCAAAAACCGTAGTTCTTCCCATTCAAACGAAGATTGTCAACGTCAACAAGTACTTTATCATGAGCACAACATGAACATGCCAACACAACACAACAGCAACATGAACATGCAAATTAAAATACAATCATAACATGAAGCTAATGTGTAGATATATATATTTGGTTTCGTTGTATATATGCATTCATTTACCTTTGGGAGTAACAACTTGATATCCATCCCCCAGCTGTTAAAACAAAATAATTTAGATCAGAAACTCACAAATTAAGACACCATAAAATTCTCAAACTCTTAATTATTTCTACCAATAAAATATTTCCTATCGAAATATCATCAGTTTCTCATTGTCAGACGCACAACCCAACTCAGCCAAATAGTGCACTTCACTAAAAACTCACAAAGAAACCCATTTTTTTATTAAAAAAATTCCTTCCAGTTCCTACACTTTCCAAGTAAACAAACCTAAAAGTTAGGGTTTCACCTTTGCTTTCTTCTGAAAGTATTCTATGAAGTGTAGCATCGCGTCCTGGTTGGGTGGGTGTTGCGCCTATTATTGAACAAGTCAGTTTTTCTTCAGTTTCATACACTTTCCAAATAAACAAAAGAGGAAATTAGGGTTTCACCTTCGTTTCCTTCCCCTCTTCTCCACCGTTCCCCCCCATAGCAGACGGATCGATTCCGAGCCGCTCCGTGTCCATGTATCCGAGTGTTTTTATGATTTGAAAGTTTGAAGCCCTTTATTATACCTTTATCAGGTAAAAAAAAGGTTGGTGGCATTTGTGGTAAATGTAATTTTACTCAAAATTCTAGTTTGCTCCCTACCTTAATTAGAATTCTAGTAATTCCAAAAATGTTGTTTGTTAATCCAAATCACGAAAAACCTGGTCCAATTTTCAAACTTTTTAAATCCAAATTCTAGAAATGCGATATGATCCCATTCTTGTGGACAACGTCAAATTTTGGTCTCACGTATTAATAACAAAAAATAATATAATTTAAATTAGGATTAAAAAATAGTTAGCAAAACAGTAGGACTCCAATTGCCAAGTTTAAATAATAACTATAACAGTATCGTAACTGAACTTTGTTTTTAACCATATAATGCCACGTGTTTAAGAACTTTGTTTTCTCCTTATACCAGAACTTAAATACCTCAAAAAATTAAAAATTAAAAGGAAAATGGAATCAATGAGGTGATGTGTGTTGTTGTGCTCTTTTATTATAAAGGCGAACCTTTCCATTGATTAGTTATGGTAGTTAGCATCGAGCAGAGAGTTTCTTATTTCCCGCCGCTGTTGAGTAGTGTGAGGAGTTCGTTATTCGAAGCAAATCCGTGAAATAATTTAATGGTTAGTGGTATTTATTGTACCTTAATTGGCACATATAATTTTGGAATTATTTACTTCTATCTTTTCTTTGATTTTGGTATTATTGCAAGCCCAGTGGAAATGATGATGCTATGGCATATAGCAGCAAAATCTTTACTAAATGTTGGAAATAGAACCCACTCAAACTATAGACCCTTCAATTAGCTACTTGAACAAATTGAGTGGGGGCGGTACGGTAATTAGATTGTGTATGCAATTTT